GACTTTATTTTTGGGGGCTCCAAAATCACTGCAGATGGTGATTGCAGCCATGAAATTAAAAGACGCCTACTCCTTGGAAGGAAAGTTATGACCAACATAGACAGCATATGAAAAAGCAGAGACATTACTTTGCCAACAAAGGTCTGTCTAGTCAAGGCTATGGTTTTTCCAGTGGTCATGTATGGATGTGAGAGTTGGACTGTAAAGAAAGCTGAGCACCAAAGAATTGATGCTTTTGAACAGTGGTGTTGGAGAAGACTCTTGAGAGTCCCTTGGACTGCAAGGAGATCCAATCAGTCCATCCTAAAGGAGATCAGTCCTGGGTGTCCATTGGAAGGGCTGATGTTGAACCTGAAACTCCAATACTTTGTCCACGTGATGTGAAGAGCTGACTCATTGGAAAAGACCCTGATGCTGGGAGGGATTGAGGGCAGGAGGAGAAGGGGACGACAGAGGATGAGGCGGTTGGGTGGCATCATCGACTCAATGGACATGGGTTTGGGTAAACTCCAGGAGTTGGTGATGGACAGGGAGTCCTGGCATGCTGTGGTTCATGGGGTCGCAAAGAGTCGGACACGACTGAGCGACTGAACTGAACTGAGAGGGGAACTGGGTAAAAGTGATTTCAGCACCTGTGCACCTAGCCCTTCCTTCCCTCTCTGATTGTGCTCAACGACAGCCCCCAGCTTAACCCCAGGGTCAACACTGGACATGCCCGATCTCATTTAATTCTTCCTGCAAATGTGTGAGAAAGCTACTACTGTTGTACCCATTTTATAGATGAGAAGACTGAGGCTTGGGACACTCTCTCAAGGTCATGCTACATGGAAATAGCTTAGCTGGGATTAGAACCCAGGCCTGGAAGAGTCTGAAGTCCAGGCTCTGCCTCCCCATTTGTGCCCAGAGTGGGGCCCGTCCGAGGCAGGAGCTCTGACCCTCCGTGTGCCGTGTGTGCCTGCCACGAGAGGCCTCTTCCAGGGGCCCTCGCCTTGTCTCCTGGCAACCAAAAACAAACAAGGTGGGGACCAATCTTTATTTGTTCTTCTGCTAACGTGCGCGGAGGGAGAGATGTAGAAAAGAGAGCTTTTCAGACATTTCTCTGCAGCCTGGGCGGGATGTGAGGAGTTCCAGGAAACTCATCCTTGGTGTCCAGCCCACCCCGTGGCGTGCTGCAGAGGGCAGGGGGCTGACAGCCAGCAGGCCGTCCCTCCCTTGCCCTTCTCCTAGCTAAACATTGGGCCTGGGAGCCAGAGAAACCTGGTTCAGGTCCAGCTCTTCTCCTTACAAGCTGTGTGACTTGCCCTCTTCAAGCTCCATTTTCCTCACCTGACAAATGAGAATAAATAATACCTTTGTCATCAGGTCGTGTGTCCGTGTGGCACCCCTCAAGGTGTGGGGGATGCAGGTGTGGACAAGATAGAGGCCTTCCCTACCCTCCGGTACTCACAGCCTGGGAATTAACTAATCCCACGAACAGATGGTCGGGGAGCGCTTCCCAGAGGAAGCGACATGAACTGGGAACACAGGTGGGCAGGAGCTAACCAGGCAAAGAGGGGAGGGAAGGGGCCAGCGCTTGGCACTGGGGAGCAGAGTTTGGGCATGGCTGACTAAACCCTTGGAACCTCAGTTTCCTGTTCTGTGAAATGGGGTCATAATGATGGCGCTGGAAAGTTGAGGGGTCCTGACTCCCGCAGTGAGTTCATGTGTATTTCCTGAGCACCTAGTATGACCGCAGCACGCATTCCATGGTTCTGTTTTAGTAGGTGCTTTCTGTGTGGCAGGCACAGCACAGGCCACTGGATCACATGCGTTCTGCTTTGTCCCCATTTCACAGATGAGGAAACCGAGACTGTGAACCATCAGCTTTCCTGTCACATGGTGGCTAAATGCAGAACTTGGATTCAAACCCTGCTCTGGGTGCTCCAAAGCTGGTTTGGTTGGCCAGGAGTAAGCCCCAGGCTCTATGTTTGGGGACCTGGTGTGATTCTCAGGCCCTTCCCTCTCCAGCTGATGTCCAGGGTAGCTGGACCCAAGGAGGACTCGTGTTTCCAGGTCCCTGAATGGGGCTCCTGTTGCAGCTCCTGCCGGGGGCTGGCGGCCAACCACATCTGGGAGTGGCCACCCTGCACCCCTGTCATTACAAGGGTGGCTTTGAAGCAGCTGGCAGCAGTGCTGTTTGCCCACGTGGGAGGGGGGCTTCCTGAAGCCGGCCTGACGCTCCTCCTGTTCCCTTGCAGGCCAAGCCGTGTGGACGGGTACCCGGGGCAGCATGGCGGATCCCCGCGAAGGCCCCCACGGGAGCCCCGGGGAGGCGACCGAGTTCCCCGGGGATGAGAGCGGCCCCCCCGGTGGGGAGGCCTTCCCTCTGTCGTCTCTGGCCAACCTGTTCGAGGGGGAGGATGGCTCCCCGTCGCTCTCGCCAGCTGATGGTGGTCGCCCCGCCGGCCCAGGCGACGGGCGCCCAAATCTGCGCATGAAGTTCCAGGGCGCCTTCCGCAAGGGGGTGCCCAACCCCATCGACCTGCTGGAGTCCACCCTGTACGAGTCCTCGGTGGTGCCCGGGCCCAAGAAGGCGCCCATGGACTCACTCTTTGACTACGGCACGTATCGTCACCACCCCAGTGACAACAAGCGGTGGAGGAGGAAGGTCATAGAGTGAGTATTGCTGGCTGCCTGGCCAAGGGTCTCCTCTGTATTGAATTCACCCATTCACCCATCCACCCATCCATCCATCCATCCATCCATCCATCCATCCATCCACCCACCCACCCACCTATTATCTACTCATTTATTCATCCAGCTACCTGTCTTTCCATCTAGCCATCCACTTGTCCAGTCCATCCATCTCCCCATCCACGTGTCCATCACCTGCTCACTCAACTATCTGTCTACCCATCTATCCATCTATCTATCCAGTCATCCTCTCATACAACCAGCCTTCCATTTATCCACCGTATTCTCCCCAAACATCCACCCATTCTCCTATCTACTCACTGTTTCTATTCATCCAGCCAGTCAGCTATCAAACTATTCATCATTCATTCATTCATTCCATTTCCATATCTCTCTTTTGTTATTTCTCTTTCCTTCTCTCTTTCTCTCTTATCAGCTACCCGCCTTTCCACCTGTCCATCCGCTTGTCCAGTTTATCCTCCATCATCACTCATTCGGATACCTATCGACCCATCTGTTCATCTGCCATCTCTCTGTGTAGCCATCTCTGCATGACATCCCCTAGAACCCTCTCGGGCCTCTGTGTGTGTCTGGAGGACAGTCTTGAAGTCTGCATGTGTCCTGTTGTCCTCTGGCCCTCCTCTGTCCCCCCATGTTGATCACAGACTCATTCATGCCCTTGGATGAAGCCCACCCACCTTCTCAGCCCCTGCTTGGTCAGGAGCTGTCTGTCTCCTTTGTTTATTCACTGAGTCACTGGTTTGTTCAGTGAATGTTTTTGGACCACCCACCACATGCCAGGTTAGGAAAGGGGTTGGCCCTGGGGCTCCAGGAATGAGCCAGGCCAGATGCTGCCCCTGCTTAGCTTAGATACTGAGTAGCTGTCACTGGCACCTTCAGTTTGGAGGGCAGAACACTTAAAAAGCAAGTGAGTAGACAGTTCACTTTGGACTTATCTGGTGGTCAAGTGGTTAAGACTCCATGCTCCCAATGAAGGGAGTATGGGTTCAGCCTGTTCAGGGAAGGTCACGCATGCTGCTTGGTCAAAAAAAAAAAAAAAGCAAGCAAGCAAGAAAGAAAGAGTTCACCCTAGAAGAAGGAAATGGCAACACATTCCAGTATTCTTGCCTGGAAAAGTCCATGGACAGAGGAGCCTGGTGGGCTGCAGTCCATGGGATTACATGACTGAGCCTGCATGCATGAGGGTGGAGGGAGATGGGTTGGTAGCAATAAACTGGTAGAACTGAAAAAAAAAAAAAAGAAATAGTTCACCCTGGGGGAGGTGCTGAGGTGAGAGGGAGCTGATACAGGAAACATAATCCAGGTGGACTTCCTGGAGGAGCTGACATTTAAGCCCAACTCTAAGGGGTGAGAAACGGCAGCCACACAGGGGATTCATTGGAAAAGCTCCTGATGCTGGGAAAGATAGAGGGCAGAAGGAGAGGGGGATGACAGAGAATGAGATGGCTGGATCTCATCGACTCAATGGACGTGAGTTTGAGCAAACCCTGGGAGATGGTAAAGGACAGGGAAGCCTGGTGTGCTGCAGTCCATGGGGTCGAAAAGAGTTAGACACGATGAACAACATTCCAGGTGGAGGCTGGAGGGGCTCGAGGTCTCCAAGGAGCACAGTCCGCGAGCTGCAGGATGAAATTGTAACCTCCACTCAAGTGGAGACAGGCCCAGGGCAGTAAGGTGTCCGGGTGCCCGATCCCTTTGGAAGGTCGCACTGGAAGCTGGTGGGCTCTTCGGCTCCCTTTCCCCCTCCTTCAGGCCCTCGTCCCCACCACTACCTCAGACAGCCAGGGCTGATGGCTTTGGGGGGGCTGCGGCTGAGCAGCTGAGGTCTTCGGAGACCCCGAAGACTGCCTCAGCGAGGACGGGGTGGGGCGAGGGTGTGCTTTTCATTTTTTGGCTCAAAGGTCACGGTTCAGGAGCAGATGAAATGGGGGCTGCCCTAGCTTATGTGCCCCCCAACTCTGATGTCCAGAAGCACCTCTTCTCCCTTCCCTGGCGCCTCATCGCTGGAGGCCCCGCCCTGGCGTGCAAGGTCTGGACAGCTTGGTGACCCCTCGCCCTTCGGCCCCGCCGCCTCTGGTTCCCTCTCTGCTCCCCTCCACTCTCCCCTTCGCACTCCCCATCTCCCCCTCTCCTGTCCGTTCTGTCTTCATTTCACAGGCTCCTCCTGCCCCCCCATATGCTGGGCGCTGGGTGGGTGAGGATGTGACACAGAGTGTCCCTGCCCACATGGTGCCCCGGGGCCAGCTCTGTGCCAGCTCTTTGTCTCTCAAAACCTGGCGCACAGTAGGTGCCCAGTGAATGCTTATTGAATGGCTGAATGACTGTCTGTTTTTGCCCTTCTTTCCTTCTCCATCACTTCTCCTCCCCCAGCCCTCCCCACCTTTTTCTTTCTCCACCCGCCTCTGTAGCTCAGCATTTCTTCCACACATACAGGCTCCGGACACCCAGTAGCACTAAATAATGACAGGAACAGCAGCTAACGCTTATCAGTGTTGACTGTGGTGGGGCCTTGAACTAAGCATCTGTGTTCATGGCCTCATTTGTCTCAAATGTTTGTTGAATGAATAAATCAAGCAGTGAATGATTTGAATAAATGATAGAGTTGCTTTATCTTTTAGTCTGGTGTTCCTCCTTTCTGTCCTTAGTGTCTTTTTCTCTTCCAGTCTCTGGCTTATTAAGCACTTAAATGACAAATGGATNGTCCCGCTGGAGGTTGGGGGAGGCCTGGCATTGGGGGCCCCCTTTCCCGTCAGCATCTTCTCTTGGGTCAGGGGGCTGCACTAGCCAGGAAGAGCACTGGACAGGGAGTCTAGCCCTGTGTGTCCTTTCCCATATTACTTAACCTCTCTGGGCCTTGGCTGCCTTTCTGCATTCATTCAGCTTTTATTTATGGAAAGTGTCATAGGTAAGCCAGGTCCCATTATAGGCTGTTTGTTTACCATCTGAGCCACCAAGGAAGCCCAGAGCCTACACAGCTGGGCTCAGATAGCACCTCTACCACTTAAGGGATCCTTGGCCTCTCTGAGCCTCGGTTTCCTCATCTGTGCCGTGGGGAGTGGTCACAGCATAGCCCTGGCCTCTGCGGACAGAGGATCCCATAGTGCTGAGCACAGCAGCCAGGGGCCCAGAAGCCCCTGTCCTGTCTGGGGGAGCTCTGGAGGGGAGAGCAGGGTATTTCTCCTTCTGCTCTCCACGTTCGAGCCCCGCCCCTGCCCAGTTCTCTGGCTCCCCACTGTAGGCTGGAACCCCGTCACCACTGCTCTGGGACGTAGCCCAGACAGCTCCCTGCAGCCTCGTCCAGGCTCAAACATCTGCCCAGGGCGCCGGCTCCCTCTGCTGCCCCGGCCTCTCTGCACATCAGGGAGCGTAGCCTGTGAACCCCTCCACCCTAGTCAGCCCCGTGCTATGTGCCAGGGACCAGGTGAGCTGTCATTAATTGGCCAAGTGACCCCACAAATCAGTATAAAATGTCGAGAATTGTGGCGCCTGCCAGGAAGGAGGGCCTGTCTCAGGTGGGCTGGCCACAGTAACAGGGCTGACAAAGCTCCAGGGAGATCAGATATTTGGAGACTTTAGGCATTTCAAGCAAATTAAGCACCTAAATAGGCTGACCGGGTCTGCAGTGTGTTTGTCACACTTACCTTTACCAGCCAGACTCTCTGAATGCCAAAATGATACTATGCTGTATCCCTGTGTCCATCAGAAGAGAATTACTGGACTTACAAAAAGCATTCATTCCTGGCGCCCAGTTAGGGCGCAGACGGTATGGCCTTGTTTGGGGCATGAGCTTAGAGTTGTGGGGGGGGATGGGGTCCCCCTCTCCCCTCAGAAGGTCTCCTTGATGCTGCGAATCTCATTTGGAGATCAACCACATATAAGCCATGGCCAAATGGCCCCACCTAGCCCCCCAAGTTCATCAGGCAAAAGTGGGGAGCCTTGGAGTGGAGAGAGCCCCCGTGAAAAAGAAATCGTGGTGCTTTGCCTTTGGCGGGCAGAGCAGTGCCAGCCTGGACTTGCCAAGACTTCTCGTTTCTCCTGAGTTCAGGGCTGGGTCTCTGAGCGCAGGCTGAGTTCAGGTAGGTGGGTCTGCATGAGCCTGGGTTGGGGGCTCTAAGGCCTGCTGGGAGAGGTTCCTGACATTGTACAGAATAGGGCAGGTGTAGAGGCGGATTTACTGTGAGGCCCACTGCTTAGGCTTCAGGACTCTCTCTTGCTCTGGCCCCCGGTACATCCGTGGACCTAACTTGGAATTTGTAATTGTGTGTTTATTTTCATAAACAGGATCCCCAAATTGCATGTCTCGAGCTCCGCAAACTGGCTCCACCCCTTCACGTTTTTCTAACCAGAGGTTCATGAGCTCATTGATTCTTAAGGGAGTCAGTGACCACCCCCTCAAAAGTTTGACAACCTCCAACTGAACAGTTAGTTTATTTAGGGCCCCTGGCTCCAGCCTCCCCAGTGGGCAAAGCCACTTCGCCACCTGGTGGTGGAGTCCTGTGACTGCAACCACTCCGGATTTCTGGCTGAGCCTGTTCTCGGCTTCTTATCTCAGGACCCAGGTTGGCAGCCCCATGCCCTGCTACAGCCTGGGTCTGGGGTTGCGGAAGTCCAAATCAACGGTGTGGTCCCACATCCTACATAAACCGCTTGAGCCCTTGTGGTTTGGAATTCCTTGCAGTGCACAGCTTGCCCCTTCACTGAATGTGTATTTACTCAACAAGTGGTTATTGGGCACCTACCAAGCAGCAGGTGCGGTGCTGACCTGGGGCAAAAAATGATGAACAAAGCAGACTTGACCCTGTCCTCAAGTTTCTGTCAGTCTCAGGTGTGAGACCGACATTGATCAAGCCATCACAGAAACAAATACACAATTACAACCTGTAACTGTGTGTCCACAAAGAAGCTGTGTTGGAGAATTTGACTTGATCAGGAAAATCTGGGAGAGCTTCCGGGAGGAGGTGACACTTGAGCAGAGTCTGAGTGAATTGCAGTTAACCAGGTGGGGGAAGGATTAGAAAGAAGGTTAAAAAGAGGCATGTGCAAAGGCCCTGTGGCTGACCATGACCAGAGTGAACTCAGTTGCTATGTGGAAAGTAGATTCAAGGATGTCCAGAGAGGCTGGTGGAAACCAGGCAGGTGTCCTGGGCATGTGAGAGAGATGCTGGCTGGGCCAGGTTGGTGGCAATGGAGATGGAGAGTGGTGGAGGGCTTGGAGAAACAGGTAAAACTGGTGGGGACTCGCTGGGGGAGAGGGTGTGGGAGAAGGTAGGATGAGGACGAGTGACAGAGGTTTTGGCTGGCTAGGGACATCAGTGTCTAAGAAGGGGACACAAGGAGCCTGGGTTGGGGTTTGGGGAATGAAAGATGAAGAGGTCAGCATGGAGAGTTGTGACAATTCTAATTTTCTAATTCCCTGTCAGTTAGGAAACAAACCGATCCACCTCAAGGCTCGTGGGTCTGAGCAGACTCCCTAGGTGCCGCGGCCAGCATTCGGCACCCCCACCTTATGCAGATGGAAAGCTGAAGCCTGTTCTTATTCACTACATAGTTACCTGCTGTCGACACTGGGCTGGGTCCCAGGGATGTAGCAGGAAATAGCCAGAATGAGGCTTGTCTGAGCAACTTCACTCCTAGGGGCGGTGGGACTGGAATTCAGGTCTCTGTGAGTCTGCGGGTCTTTCCCATTCTCTCCACTGATTCCTGGCATCTAAGGAGAGTCTCAAAAGCATTTCTGGTAGAACAATAACTGCAACAGTATTAGTTACTGAGAATGCCTGTCTACCTGGTGCTGGGCTCATCAACAGATATCTATTAGCTTATGATTTCTCTTTGTGGGCTCAATGTAGTGAGACAGGAAATGGAAGCGGAGAAAAGGTCACACACAAATCAGAAGTGGGGAGCAAAGCCTGATTTGAGCCCCAGGGGTCCAGGCTCCAGAGCGAGCCCCTCAGCCCACTCCTGCCTCTCCCATCCCCTGTCCCGTTCCGGGCCCCCTCCTGCATCGGGCTGTATTGCCCTGTGCCTGGTTAAAAGCCAGTCCTCTTTTCATTGACTCTGTCTTTTAAAGATATAAATCCACTCATGTCACCATAAAAATTAATACAAGGGAAAGAAAATCGCAAAGAGGTATTAGCAAGCGTTAGGGGGAGGTGTTAAAGACCCCTTAGTACCGAACGGAGACTGACTTCACAGGAGAGGCTTGACAAGGGGCTGACACCTTGCACACCTGGGCATTTGCTGTTTTTATTTGCTGCCTCTGCAGGAGCCCCCAAATCCTCTAAGATAGTTTCCCGTCTATTATGGCTCACAGCCCCCACTGCGGGTAACTCTGCACTCGCTCTGCTCCCCTCTAGGGGCGCTAGTGCAACCACTTCATGGGTAAAGGATCTGTGTTCAAGCAAAGGCTGCCTCCTGGGTCTGTTTTTAGAGGTTCCCAGTCCTCATTAGCAGATTAAAGGCTCTGAGAAGTCCTGTAGTGAAGAAATGGTGGCAGTTGGCATTGATTAACCTAGCATTCCCCTTTTTATCTGATTTTTTTTTAAAGTCCCCTCCAGGGACTTCCCTGGTGGTCCAGTGGTTAAGACTTGGCCTTCTAAAGAAGGGGGCCTGGATTTAATCCTTGGTCAGGAAACTAGATCCTGCTTGCTGCAAATAAACCAATGCAGACAAATAATTTTTTTTTTAATGGTCCATATTAAAAAAAAAGTCCTTCCAAATATGCTTTGGTAGGTACCGTCTCTCTACAGGCTGCAGCTTCCCACGTTTTAAAGACCTTCTGCTCCTCTGAGTTTCTTTGACCTTCTCAGTACCCTGGGGTGGGGTCGGGGAGCAGATGGGGGCCAGGCTCAGAAAGGAGAACGCGGCCAGGACCTCTGGCTCCCTGCCCCGTGCCCTGTCCCCCGCTGCCCAGCAGTTTGGGCCTCGGGCCGAGCACTCCTCTTCTTGCACGTGTCTTCCCGCAGAGCCGTCCACCGGGAAGACCTGCCTGCCCAAGGCCCTGCTGAATCTGAGCAACGGCCGCAACGACACCATCCCCGTGCTTCTGGACATCGCCGAGCGCACGGGCAACATGCGGGAATTCATCAACTCGCCCTTCCGAGACATCTACTACCGAGGTGGGGCCCTGGGCTGGGCGGGAGGGGGGCTCCCTCCTCACTTGTCCAACCCCTCCTCACCCCCAGCAACACCTCACTTCAGCCTGGGCCGCGAGCACCAGCATGTCCTGGAACTAGTTGTCGAATGAATGAACAAATGGACTGAAGAACAACAATAACTACCCCTTCCAACTTTAAAATTTTGAGCTCCAAAATCAAGGGTTCCATGGTTCTCACATGCAATGAGCCGAAGGGGCCGTGAACCTGGAAACCTGGACCCAAGATGATCTGGTTTTGGAGACTCTGAGGCTTTGTGATAATAGTCCTGTGAGCCAACAGCTCGAAAAGGCAGAGGTGTCACCAGGCCCAGCTCCCTGGATCTAAATTCTGAGATCCTTGAATCCACCTTGACGTTTCGGATTCCTGGATGTCAGATTCAGAGGCTGTGAATTTTGCATCCTAAATCCTGTGAGACCGCGATGCTGTTGTTTCCTCTGGCGTGAAAGGCTCTTACGAGTCTGCAAAGTCCCCACATTTGGGGTCCTCCAAGTTGGATATCCCTTGAGCCTAAGCTCCTGTGGGTGTAATGCAGCAGGTCTGGGACCTCAGGCCTCAGAGACTCCACGTCCGGGAATGTCTGAAGGTCCCCTTGTTGCCCTGGGGTGGATCTCCACCTTCTGTGCCCCAGCACCCCCCACACCTGGTCTGAGCTCTGCACCCCCCCTGGCCCCTGGTGACTGTCCCCCACCTCCTCCCAGGCCAGACTGCCCTGCACATCGCCATCGAACGCCGCTGCAAACACTATGTGGAGCTGCTGGTGGCCCAAGGAGCCGACGTCCATGCCCAGGCGCGGGGCCGCTTCTTCCAGCCCAAGGACGAGGGCGGCTACTTCTACTTCGGTGAGGAGGGGCTGGTGGGGGCTGGGGCACACGGGGCAGCAGCTGGGGGCCGCGGGGGTTACACGGTGGTGCTGGCAGCCCTGACACCACCCGAGACACCCAGGGCCGTGCTGACCACAGGCTGCCTCATTGGTCTTGGTCACTGAGGTCTCACTTTTGAGGAGTGGAGCATCACCTCGCTTGCCTGAGCCTCAGCTGTCCCGTCTGTGCAGTGGGCATTGTGATGGGATCAGAGGGCTGTGGTGGGCTCTCCCCTCCCCCCCAACACCTTATCACTTGCATCCTCTGGTCTGACTTAAGCTGGCACTGATGGTCAGATGCAGGGTCCAGATGGCATCACTGCCATGGCCCAGTTGGACCCATGAAAGATTTTCAATTTCTACCCCCGCTTAGACACATATTATTCGGGGTTCAGAAACAAAGTCCATCAGAGTCTCTCATGGCCTCCGATGTGGCCGTACCTCAAGTAGCCACGTCCGTCTCCCCGGGGACATCGCCCCCAGACAGCTGCAGTCGGCCAGGGCTTGTTCACACTGACCGTGGGCGCCGTGTCTGCTGTCACGGTGTCTCCCGGGGGTGGGGCCCTGTCGCTGACCCAGCGCCCCGACCCCCTGCCCTGCAGGTGAGCTGCCCCTGTCGCTGGCCGCCTGCACCAACCAGCCCCACATCGTCAAATACCTGACGGAGAACCCACACAAGAAGGCGGACATGCGGCGCCAGGACTCTCGCGGCAACACCGTGCTGCACGCGCTGGTGGCCATCGCCGACAACACCCGCGAGAACACCAAGTTCGTCACCAAGATGTACGACCTGCTGCTGCTCAAGTGCGCCCGCCTCTTCCCCGACAGCAACCTGGAGGCCGTGCTCAACAACGACGGCCTCTCGCCGCTCATGATGGCCGCCAAGACGGGCAAGATCGGGGTGAGTGCGGGGCTGGGTCACCACACACACACACACACACGCACGCACACACACACACACACACACGCACACACACACACGCACGCACACGTGTGTGCCTGGAGTGCGGGGCGGCTGCTGCTGGCATGTGTTATTGGTGTGCACGTCCGCCTCCCATCCGGCCCACCCGGGAGTGCAGATGCTCCAGCTCAAGAGCTTGCTGCGGCTCCCTATTGTCCAGCAAGGCCGTTCAGCTTCATCGCAGCGCCTCTCTGCTCATCCCACCCTGCTGGATGCTCACTGCCCCACTCCCGCCAGCCAGGGCCTGCCACTGACAGAGGGCTGCGCCCCAGAGCTGCAGCCCTGCAGTCCTCCTCTGCCCTTCGTGGCCGGGGTTCTGGCTCAGCCCCTGACCTGCTGTGTGGCCTCAGGGAACATCCTCCTTTTCTCTGAACCTCTGTTTGCTCATGGGGGCTTCCCCAATCGCTTGGCGGTAAAGTATCCACCTGCAGTGCAGGAGACTCAGGAGACACGAGTTCAATCCCTGGGTCAGGAAGATCCCCTGGAGCAGGAAATGGCAACCTGCTCCAGTACTCTTGCCTGGAGAATCCCATGGACAGAGGAGCCTGGCGGGCTGCAGTCCATGGGGTCACAAAGAGTCGGAAACCAATGAAGCGACATAGCACACATGCTCTTTGCTCATCTGTCAAACAGGATGGTGAGGGTAAGAATTCAACCAGGTGATGTGAGGAAAGCATCCAGCAAGTGCTCAGTAAATGTTTTCCCTCGTCCATCCTGCTCTCTGGGGAGGCGCTATTTGCTGGGGTCCCTCCCATGTGAGTGGCCCAGCGGCAGTACCCCTGCCCATACCCCACCCCCAACCCCCTGATCCTCCTCCTCCCACACAGATCTTCCAACACATCATCCGTCGGGAGGTGACAGATGAGGACACCAGGCACCTGTCCCGCAAGTTCAAGGACTGGGCCTACGGGCCGGTGTACTCCTCACTGTACGACCTCTCCTCGCTGGACACGTGCGGGGAGGAGACCTCCGTGCTGGAGATCCTGGTGTACAACAGCAAGATCGAGGTGGGCGCGGGGCAGGAGGGGCCGGAGCGGAGGGTCTGTGGGCCGGGTGCGACAGGAGAGGCCAGCCGAGTGCCCAGGACGGCATCTGGCATGGGGGGAATGGCAGGACTGTGAGGGTCAGACTTCAGGGGCGCGCAGGACTGCTTCAGGGTCCTGGCGCTGTAACTGTCATGCTGTGTGACTCAGCACAAACTCCCCAACCTCTCTGAGTCCCAGCTTCCTCTTTAATACCATGCGGATAAAAACAGAGCCTTTCCCATTGGGTTGCTAGGAGGACCAAATGAACAGCCAGGCGCAGGGTAAGCATTATGTGTCAGCTATTATCATTAGCATTTGTTATATGAAGTTTTTAAAAGCTCTCTTTTTAACTTAGCAGTATTTTTTATGAACATCGTTCTGCACCATTAAATATTCTTCTGCAGTATCATTGCTGCGTGGAAAAGTACCACATTCTAATTAACCATTCCTCTATTCTTGGTCGTTTGAGTTTGTTTCTGCACTTAACTATCAGGAATAACATTGCAGTGGCATCTCTGTGACTACATCATTGCACATATCCTTGATGATAAAGAAACTCAAATCCTTAAAGAGACAGGATGCTGCACAAATGGGGCAGAAAGCCCTGGGGCCTGCGTACAGAAGGTCTTCCTTTTAGCCCTGGCTCTGTGAGTTTGGACAGATGCCTTCTCATACCGGAGCTCACTTCCCTCATCTTTCAAGTCAGTGACCAACCTGATTTAAACTGGGGGTGGTGGTAGGTTTTAGCATCTCTGCTGCAAACTCTGATTGATTGGTAGTGTCTGCCCAGGAAACTGTATAGAGAACTATTGTGTGGGACTCAATTATTGCTGTCTGTCCTGGGTTCAGACTTGGAAAATCGTGGTGAGTCAAGTATTTATCATCCTGGGGCTAAATTTCCCAGTTCCCACTTCCTGAATCAGAATGTCTGAGGTTGAAACCCAGGGGTTTATTTATTTATTTTCACTAAAAATTTTTTGGCTGCAGCATGCAGGAACTTAGTTCCCTGACCAGGGAATCTAATTCGTGCCCCCTGCCTTGGTACTGCAGAGTCTAAACCACTGGACTGCCAGGAAAGTCCCCAGGGATTTATGTGTTTTAACAAGCTCCATAGGTGATTTTGGTGCCAGCAACTTGGCAACATCCACTGATTAGAATTTGGGGACCACAGGAATAGATGTTCTTTCAGGAGCTTTCTAGCTCTAGGTTCTATGAGTCTAGAACAGGCTAGAAAGGTAAGTTGGGACAGAACTGGGCAGAGCCTCAAATGCTGAGCCCAGAAGTCTGGGTGTCACTGAAGAACAGGTCAGGAGGAGAAAGCGCTCTCGGGGCAGAGGGTGGGGGAAGGCGTATTGGAGTCAGCCTGTCCACCCCCTGCCTACCCTGCTCCCCAACAGAACCGCCATGAGATGCTGGCCGTGGAGCCCATCAATGAACTACTGCGGGACAAGTGGCGGAAGTTCGGGGCCGTCTCCTTCTACATCAACGTGGTCTCCTATCTGTGCGCCATGATCATCTTTACCCTCACTGCCTACTACCAGCCTCTGGAGGGCACTGTGAGTGACCGTGAGCGCGGCAGGAGCTGGGGCACAGCTGGGTCCCCTGTGGGAGGTACTGGAGAAGGTTTGGAACAGGGTGGGAAGGTGCCCCCCACACCCAGGGGGAGGAAGGGTGAGGGAGGAGGCTCCACGGAACCCAGAGGTTTGGGCTGTTGGGGAACATCTGGATTTGGAGGGGCTGGGTGAGGACTTACATGACCCTTGCCCGCCCCCCACCAGCCGCCATACCCTTACCGCACCACGGTGGACTACCTGAGGCTGGCCGGCGAGATCATCACGCTCTTCACTGGGATCCTGTTCTTTTTCACCAACGTGAGCGCTTGGCCCCAGCCTCACCCTGCCTGGACCCTCCTCTCTCTCCACCTCTTTAATTTGTTTAATGTTTGGCCACACCCCATGGCACTTTGAACTTCCCCAGCCAGGGCTCAGACCCATGCCCCCTGCATTGGGAACGCTGAGTCTTAACCACTGGACCTTCAGGGAAGGCCCCCTCCACCTCTCTTCCTTCCACTGTCCGCTCCACCCTTCTGCTGACTCCACCTCTCTCACCCACCCCCTCCCCTCCTCCAGATCAAAGACTTGTTCATGAAGAAATGCCCTGGAGTGAACTCTCTCTTCATCGACGGCTCCTTCCAGCTGCTCTAGTGAGTAGAGGTCCCTGGGGTGGCAGCTTCTGGGTGAGGAAGGTGGGGTTGGGAGGGACATCCTCGAGGTTTGGTGGTGGGGGTGTGTGTGACTCTTATTAGGAGTGAACTCACCCAGCCTGATCAGCTACTGTAGCCCAAAGTCAGGCCATTGTCAAGTAAAAGAGTCCTCTGGTTAAAGCAAGATTCTGGTTGCTAGAGCGTTATCAGTATATGCACCATGGATAGAAATAAATTTAACCTCCTATGCTTGTGATTGATTGCTAATGTCTGCCAGGCGTGCCCATGTTAAGGATCTTAAGGCTGTGTCTGTGTTCAGTGGGAAAGAGTGCTGGGGTTGATTAGTGATGTCTGCCTGGGGCACAGGATGAATTGCTGCATGAGTGTTACATATTTTCCCTTTTTCTTAGAGAACATTGAAAATTCTGGGGGGTAGGACTCCATGCTTCCACTGCAGGGGGCACAGGTTTGATCCCTGGCCAGGGAACTAGGATCTCACATGTCACATGTTAGGGCCAAAAAAAAAAATTTCACTAAGCCACAAAATCTCCTCCGAGCACCACTGAATCTTCCTCTAGCAACTCCAAAGGACATCACTTTGGGTTCTGGTAGGGCCCCAGGGCAATTACACACACATTGGTTGCCAGTTAATTTTTTTAAATAATTATTAATTTTTTTTTGGCTGCACTGGGTCTTTGTTGCTGCATGCAGACTTTCTCTGGTTGTGGCGAGCAGGGGCTACTTGTGGTGTGCGGGCTTCTCCTTGTGGTGGCTTCTCTTGTTGTGGAGCATGGGCTAGAAGTTGTGGCACACAGGCCTAGTTGCCCTGTGGCATCTTCCCGGACCAGGGATTAAACCCATGTCCTTTGCATTGGCCAGCAGCTTCTTAACCACTGGACCACCAGGGAAGCCCAGTTGCCAGTTAACTGACAAGCCTGGCTAACAGGATGCTGGGAACCCCGTGAAGCCACTTGGTCTCATGGTCTCTCTTCTGGGTGGCGTCAGGACGTCCTAGTGCCTAGAAGGGTTGGGGGCCTGCCCCCCCGTCCAGGGTCTCACTTGCCTGTCTCCCCTCTGGCTCCTCTCGTGGTCTCTGCTGCCCTGTAGCTTCATCTACTCCGTGCTGGTGATTGTCTCAGCGGCTCTCTACCTGGCGGGGATCGAGGCGTACCTGGCTGTCATGGTCTTTGCCTTGGTCCTGGGCTGGATGAACGCCCTTTACTTCACCCGCGGGCTGAAGCTGACGGGGACCTATAGCATCATGATCCAGAAGGTACGGGGCGGGCGGTTCCTCCTGGACTTTTGTGTGTCCTTGGAGGGAGCTGCACACACCACATATGCACAGACAGTGCTGTTGGCCCTGAGGCTGCGGGGCGGTGTGGGGGCAGCGAGCAGGGCCTGGACATGGGGCGGGGCAGGGTGGAGCTGGAGAGAAGGTGTGGGATGAAGAGTTGGGAAAGCGAGAAACCACGTGTCTCATCTCTGCCTCTGTATTCCCACCGGGGTCTCCAGATCCTCTTCAAAGACCTTTTCCGCTTCCTGCTGGTCTACGTGCTCTTCATGATTGGCTACGCGTCAGGTGAGCCCCGGGGGCCCAGGTGGGCCTGGCGGGGTGGTACCGGGGCTGGAGCAGCCGCCATGGTGTGTGGAGGAGAATATCCAGCGTTTGTAGGGTTCTCATCGTGTACCTGGCGTTGAGCTAAGTCCTCTCCCATCCCTGCCTCATTTACAACAAGCCTCCCAACAAGCCTGTAAGGGAAGTGCGTTTCTTATGACTTTTTACAGTTAAGGAAACTGAGGCTTAGCTTAAGTAAGGTTAAATAACACGCCCAAGTTCAAAAGCTAGGAAACAGTAAAACTGTCATCTTAGCTATTGTGGCAAAAGAAGCCACCCAAACACTTAATGACTTTAAACAACCACCATTTTTATTTTTGGCTATGTCCTACAACATGTGGGATCTTAGTTCCCCAACTAGGGATCAAACCGGTGCCCCCTAAAGTGGAAACATGGTGTCTTAACTGCCAGGGAACTCCCCCAAACAACCACCATATATTATTATGCTCAAGTCCATGGGTCTCCTGGGTGCTTGTGCTGACCTGGACCAGATTTGGGCTCCCATGTCTGTGCTCAGTTGGCAGATTGGCTGCAGCTGACTTGTGTAGTTAGGGGTGGCCTCCACTGCGGGTGACTTTGCTGTCTTCCTCGGGTCACTCATCTCTAGCCAGCTAGCGTGGACTTGGTCACACGGTGGCCTGAGGGTTCCCAGATGTGAGCGGAGGTGTTTGAGGTCACTGCTTGGCACAGTGTCACTATCTGTCTCACCTTGTTGGCCAAAACAAGGCTCAGCCTGACTCAAAGAATGGGGAAATGGGGATCCCCTGGTGGTCCAGTGGTTAAGACTCTTCCACTGCATGGGGCATGGCTTCAACCCCTGGTCTGGGAACTAAGATCCCATATATCGTGCAAACAGCTGAAAAATAAAAGAGTAAAAATCAAAGAGTGTGGAAATAGATTCTATCCTCTTGGTGGCAGGAGCTACAAAGCCTCTACTAGGCCGTCTCCTTGATGTCACGATGCCTTGGGACCTCAGTGGCAGAGGCCATGGGGGTGGGACCAGGGTTGGGGAAGGTAATCAAGCTGTTGGGCTGGTCCCCAAAGGGCGGGTGACTGGCCATCCGACGCCCAGGATCCAAAAGGGAGCAGGACTCAGAGGTTTCATCTGGGCTTCATGGGAAGGGATGAGCACCACAGTTAGCTGACGTCTGGAGGGGGTGATGGCCTTAGTGAGCACAGCTCTGGGGGCAGTCAAGGCTGGTACCTAGTCTCACCTTCCTCCCTTCCTTTCTGTGCTGCTGTGAGCTGGGAAACAGGAACACGAGCGTGAGTCTGCCCCTGGAATGCTGGCATCCCAGACTCCCAGGGCCTCTAAGAACAGTCAGCTCTCAGCCTGGCTCTGACATGTGGGCTCAGACGGTTCCCCGCGGTGGGGACTGTCCTCTGCACGGCAGCATGTTTGGCAGCATCCCTGGTCTTGACCCAGTAGGTGCCCGAAGTGTCCCTCCTCCACTTGTGAGACCAAAAATGTTTCTAAACTTGCCAAAGGTGCCCTGGGGGACAAGTTATCCCCGGTTGAGAACCACTAGACTGAGTCCTGGGACCCTCTTCCTTGTTAAGGAGAGTTTGTGGAAAGAGCAAAGGCTTTGCATGCGGGGGGACCCAGGTTCAACCACTGGCTTGGCTTCCATTCTGGGTGACCTTGGGCCAGCCTCCCCGCCCTCCGCGGGCCTCAGTGTTCCCCTCCATCAAATGGGAAGGGGCCTCCCCACCTCTCACCCTCCGTGACTGTCACTGCCGTCCCTCCCACAGCCCTGGTCTCACTCCTGAACCCATGTGCCAACTTGAAGGTGTGCGACAAGGACCACGCCAACTGCACTGTGCCCACCTACCCCTCATGCCGCGACAGCGAGACCTTCAGCACCTTCCTCCTGGACCTCTTCAAGCTCACCATCGGCATGGGCGACCTGGAGATGCTGAGCAGCACCAAGTACCCCGTGGTCTTCATCATCCTGCTGGTCACGTACATCATCCTCACGTTCGTGCTGCTCCTTAACATGCTCATCGCCCTCATGGGGGAGACGGTGGGGCAGGTGTCCAAGGAGAGCAAGCACATCTGGAAGCTGCAGGTGAGCCCGCCCTGCCGGCCGCTCTGCCCCTGGGGTCACCGGACCTGCTGCGCCTCCTCAGCCTGGTGCTCTGCGCGAGCCGCGCCTCCCGGTTCCGCCTCCACTTCCCTGTCTGTTTAATGGGCACGGACGAAGCCTGCAGGTCTGTTTCCAGGTGGCTTCTTGCCTGACCAGCAGCTCAGCTTCCCTTGCAGTCCCATTCATGGGATGCAATCAGCTTCCCCCAGCTCCAGGGAGGGAGCGCTTTTGGCACCGGAAATGCTCAGAGAGCCTCACATTTCAGTGGGGGTTCCACATGGAGCCCAGGGGCAGCTTCTGTGCCCCTGCCGGGCCCAAGACACCAGGCTGGCATGGGAGCAGGCCACCTCAGAGCCGGGAAGCATCAGCGTCCTCATCAGAGGGGCTCCCACCAGCCCAGGGGTGGCTTCCAGGCTCCCCACTCTCACTGCCCCCCCACCCAAGCACGTGTGGTTGGTGTGCACGCACTGGGGAGCTGCTGCCTTTGTTTCCCGCTGGTTTCTGTGCAAGCGAAGGGAGCAGAGGTCCTGGGGGCAGGGTGTGGCAGCCTGCCTGGCTGCAGGCAGTTCCAGAACTGGGGTTCCCAATAAGCAGCCTTACTGCGAGGCCCGGGAAGGCAGCCCCCACACTTACTATGACTTGGTACGTTTTCAGGAAATGGCGCAGTGAGGAAAAACAACTCCACAACGTCCTCCCCCCAGGTCTGGGTCTCAGGGGACCATCGGACCTGCTCTTACCCTTTATCCCTACCGCTTCCTTCACCCCCGGGCCTCAGTTTCCCCGCTGGGTGTAACTCGTAACACACCAACTCGCAGCCCATGGACTGGATTTGACCAGCAAAGATTTATTTGTTTTCTGCATCACTATATATTTTTTAAAAACTTAATGCAAAAAAATTTAATTGAGAGATTTCATAGAAAAATTCAGATTTCTGGCCTTTCTTGAAAAGTTGGAAGCCTAGCAAGGCGGGCCCACATTCTTGGGTGGATGAGAGATGGCTGCCCCCTTTACAGGGGTGGGGGTCTCCTGCCCGCCCTGGTCTGCCCCAGTGCCCACCCCTCCCTGGGGGCGCCCAGTACCGAGGGGACACCTAGTGCCCTGGGGCACGGGCTGCTGACCCTTCTTTCATTTTCTCCGGCCAGGCGCCTGTGGGTATTTGAGTCTTTAATGCAGGGGTGGCGGGAGCAGAAAGCCTGGTTCCCTGCATCCTTCCTGCCTTGAGAGTAGTTAGGCGAGGCCGGGCGCGGCTCACCCGCCGCCCGCCCACCCTCCCTCCCCGCAGTGGGCCACCACCATCCTGGACATCGAGCGCTCCTTCCCCGTGTTCCTGAGGAAGGCCTTCCGCTCCGGCGAGATGGTAACCGTGGGCAAGAGCTCGGACGGCACTCCAGACCGCAGGTGGTGCTTCAGGTGAGGCCGGGTTGGGCGAGACCACCGGGCCTCCTTATGCTTTCTACCCATTGCCACTTCTGAGCCACTGAGGCCCCCGGGGGCCTGACCGGAGCTCAGTTCCACTGGCTGATGCTGTGGGTTCAGTTCTCAGCCTCGGTTTCTTCATCTGTGAAATGGGGACAATGGCCAGCTGTGCGGATTAGACAGGTTGGCGTGTGAGATGTGCCCAGCCAGCCCCCATGCAGACTGGGGCAGACACCCTGAAGCAGCCGGTATTACTGCTCTCTCTTTTGCTGGAGGAAGCAGACTCAGGGGCAATGCTTATCCCATGGCACCACCCTCTACTGGTGATGCAATGGAATGAGTTTCAGGGCTTCAATTTTTAAAAAAATATTTATTTAAACATTTTTTAAAATAAATATAAATAAAAATTTATTTGGCTGCCCTGGGTCTTAGTTGTGGCCTGTGGGATCTTTGATCCCTCAGTTACAGCTTGAAGGATCTTTAGTTGTGGCATGGGAACTCTTAGTTGCTACATGTGGAATCTAGTTCCCTGATGAAGGATCGAACCTGGGCCCCCTGCATAGGGAGTGTGGACTTAGCCACTGGACCACCAGGGAAGTCCCCTCAGGGCCTTAATTGAAACGGAGAAACTGAGTTATCAGCAGCTTGCAGGGCTTGGGATGTTACCCAGATGCACGGGGAATGCCAGCTTCTTCCGGGGAACCCCTGGGTGAATCTTGTCTTTTACGAGGACTCATTCTTTGTAATGTGGTTGCCAGCATGGAGCATCAGCATCATGCTTGGAATCAGGCAAAGTCAGTTTCCACTATGACAACCCCCACTGCCCAGCCCTGTTTTGGATCCAAAGTTCAAATCTTGACTGTGATTTATCAGCTTTGTGACCTTGGACGAAAAGTTCAACCAGCCTCAGTTTCCTCATCTGTAAAATGGGAGCAAAGGATGTATCTTCCTTGCTGGGTCCTGACCCATAGCACTTACCCCCCACAAAACAGAAATTGAATAAAAATAACTTATTTTAATTTTAGAAAGTAAAAATTGGGACTTCCCTGGTGGTCCAGTGGCTAAGACTCCTCATTCCCAACACAGGGGCCTGGGTTGGATACCTGGTCCAGGAACAAGATCCTGCATGCCACAACTAAAGATCCTGCATGCTGCAATGAAGATCACATATCCCACATGCCACAACTAAGACCCAACACAGTCAAATAAATATTTTAAAACAGTAAAAATTATCTCAAGCCCATTTGGGCCCAAGAGGGTATAAACTGACTTTATGAGGGTGTCTCAATAATAAGAGTGAGACTGTCAAGAAAGAGGATGTCCATCCACAGATGAATGGATATATAGACATACAAATAAGGTCTTTGCAGGCAATGGGATACTATTTAGCCATGAAAAGGAATGCAGTACTGATGCAGGCTACATCGTGGATGGATCTTGAAAACCTGATGCTACTTGAAAGCAGTCAGACACAAAGGCCACATACTGATCAATTCTATTTAACACAAAATGTCCAGAATAGATAAATCCATAGAGACAGAAAGTAGAACAGAGGCTGCCGGGGGCTGGTGGGAAGGGGGATGGGGAGCTACTGCTTAATGGGCACAGAATTTCTGCTTGGGGAAATGAAAAGGTTTTGGAACTAGGTAGTGGTGATGGCTGCACAGTCTTAGGAATGTATTTAATGCCACTGAACTGTATGCTCTAAAGTGGGTGAGGGACTTCCCTGGTGGGCCAGTGGTTAGGACTCCGAACTCTCACTGCTAGGTCCCAGGTTCCATCCCTGGGTAGGGAACTAAGATCCTGCAAGCTGAGTATAGAGGCCAAAAAAAAAAAAAAGAAGAAAAAGTGAAACAGCAAATTTTATGTTTTATCTATCTGCCTATATATATTATCAGAAATTAAGAAAAAAAAACAACAACAAGGACTTTCCTGGTGGTCTAGTGGCAAAGACTCTGCGCTCTCAATGCAGGGAGCATGGGTTCACTCCCTGGTTGGGGAACTAGATCCCAAGTGCTGCAACTAAGACTTGGTGCAGCCAAATAAAAATAAATAATAACATTTTTTTTAATTTAAAAAAAGAATAAAAAAAGTAGGAGGGTGTGCTGGAAGGCTGGAGCTTGGAGGCTGCCTGGGGGTGGGGAAGGGGTTCTGTCTCTGGGCCGGGGGCTCTCCTTGACCCTTGTCTGCTGTGGCCCCACCAGGGTGGACGAGGTGAACTGGTCTCACTGGAACCAGAACCTGGGCATCATTAACGAGGACCCGGGCAAGAACGAGAGCTACCATTACTACGGCTTCTCACACACCGTGGGCCGCCTTCGGAGGGGTGAGTGGGGGTGCTTGGGAGGTGTGGGGGGACTGAGGGGCGCAGAGGGGGAGCCCGGGTCATCCTCAGCACCGGTTTGTTTGGAGCAGTCCTGTCCCTCCCTGGGACTCAGTATTCCCGTCTGTAGAATGGGAGGGTGCGATGGGCTGGCCGCCGAGCTTCCTCTGCTGCCAGTGACAGCCTGGGCCCTCGCTTCCACTCAGCCTCGGGCTCGCAGGCCTCCTGACCCAGGCTTGAGTCCTGATTCTTTCATCTTACTCCTGTGTTCCGAGGCGGGCCCCATGACCTCTCCCAGCCCGTTACCACCTCTGTAAAACGGGGATGATATACCTTCCCCTTAGAGTACTGACTTCCCTGGGGGCTCAGACGGTAAAGCGTCTGCCTACAATGCGGGGGACCTGGGTTCGATCCCGGGGTCGGGAAGATCCCCTGGAGAAGGAAATAGCAACCCATTCCAGTACTCTTACCTGGAAAGTCCCATGGACGGAGGAGCCTGGTAGGCTGCAGTCCATGGGGTTGCAAAGAGTCAGACACGACTGAGCGACTTCACTTTCCTTTTCCTTTAGAGCACTGCTGAGTGCCTGGTACACCAAAGGCGCTCAATATATATGTTATGCACTCTCTGGCCACCCTCACCCCGCACTCCCCCACTCACTACAGATCGCTGGTCCTCGGTGGTGCCCCGCGTGGTGGAACTGAACAAGAATTCCAACCCTCACGAGGTGGTGGTGCCTCTGGACAACGTGGGGAACCCCAGCTGCGATGGCCACCAGCAGAGTTACCCCCGCAAGTGGAGGACTGACGACGCCCCGCTCTAGGCCCTGCGAGCAGGAGCAGGGTCCCCTCCGCCGCCCATTTCCAGTCCAGCTGCATTTCAGAGGTGCCCCCCACCAGGGTGTGCCCCCCCCCATACCCTCCTTCGACCCTCAGAGGTGAGGGCTGGGCAGGGATGCCGGGGAGGCCCTAGGACCCTCCGCCGCCCATTTCCAGTCCAGCTGCATTTCAGAGGTGCCCCCCACCAGGGTGTGCCCCCCCATACCCTCCTTCGACCCCCAGAGGTGAGGGCCGGGCAGGGATGCCGGGGAGGCCCCAGGACCCTCTGGTCCCTAGGCTCCTGCCCGCCCCNTGATGTGGGTTCGGGGGGAGTAGGCAAGCAGCTGGGAGGGGCAGAGCAGAGGCGGAGATGACAGCCACGGAGGTGGGTGAGCCATCCGGTGTCCAGTGGGGTGACGGTGAGGGTGAGAGCAGCCCTAATAAGGACAGCAGGGCCCACTGGAGTCGAGAGAGAACCTTTGGTTGGGACCACACACCAGCGGAGCCGTGAACATGAGCTGGAGCTGAAGGATGACCCACTTCCCTTCCGAGGGCCGCCCATCTCCCCAGGGTCACACTCACTGCTGATCCAGCCCCGGGGCAGCTCCAAGCCTCTGGGCATGAGAAGGGGCCCCCAAAATACCCGATCCTGCTGCTCCACCCTGGATGAATCCACAGCCAACCGGTTCCCCTCTGACCTCCCAGGTTCCTGGTCCCAGCTCAGACCCTGTCTTAGGACCCTTCTGAAGCTTTAGTTGAGAAGAGCTTGGGACTCTGGAGAACCTGGCCAAGTACAGCTGCTGTGGGAGACACACAGGGCACGGGGTCTGAAGATCTGGCTTTGCACCCTCTGCCCAAACAGTGGCAAAAGGTCACTTTACTTCTCTGGGCCTCCATGTTCCCAGTCTGTTAGAAGGATGTCAATTACTTGAAGGATGGGAGCAGGCTCAGCTATCTGAGAATGCAGGGGAGACTCCTTGTATTACCACTGAGGGTGGCTAGGGGGCGCCAACCTTCCCACACACCCATTCTTTCCATCTCCCTCTACGTTGGCTTCCGGGGGCTGCCCTTGGGGTCCACGGATGACCCAGCTTCTCCCAAGGCTACTTGCTTCCTCATTCCAGCATTCTTTTTTTAAAAAAATAATTTTATTTATTTATCTTCGGCTGTGCTGGGCCTTTGTGGCTGCACAGGCTTTTCTCGAGTTGTGGTTAGTGGGGGCTACTCTAGTTGCGGCGCACGGGCTTCTTATTGCAGTGGCTTCTCTTGTGGAGCACGGGCTTTGGCACTTGGGCTTCAGCAGTTGGCCCTTCACGCGGGCCCTAGAGCACAGGCTCAGTAGCTGTGGCACACGGGCTTAGCTGCTCTGTGGCATGTGGGATCTTCCCAGACAGGAATGGAACCCGTGTCTCTGGCGCTGGCAGGCGAATTCTTTACTACTGAGCCACCAGGAAATCCCTCCAGCATTCTTAATGGAGGTCCCAAGAGCCATTCTCTTTGGATGGACCTGAGTCACATGTCATGCCTGCGCCAATCCTATCCTGGGGGATGGGATACCCTCCCCGGCTGAGCCAAGCCTTCTGGGGAATGGTAGGTAGGTCCGAAACTCTTGAGACTCGGTGTCCTCATCTGTAAAATGGGCGCAGACTTTGTGAAGGTCAAGTGATGCCCTGGGCTTTTCGAAGAAGAGAGAATTGTGCCTGTGGCGTTCATACATTTACGTGTTTGGGGCAGCAAGTCACAGAAAACTTACGCTGGCTTGAAGAAAAGAATATTTATTATCTCAGCAAGCTGTCCCAAGTTAGGGAGGGCAGTAAGGCTGGTTAATTCAGTCTCTGTGATTCATTAAAGGTTCTGCCAGCTCATTTATTCCTTCAAGCATTTATCAGGCACGGTGCTAGTCACCACCCACCAAGTGTGCTGGCGTTTTCCTCCTATGTGCTGTGCTTAATCACTCAGGCATGTCCGACTCTTTGCGACCCCGTGGACTGTAGCCCACCAGGCTCCTCTGTCCATGGGGATTCTCCAAGCAAGAATACTGGAGCAGGTTGCCATGCCCTCCTTCAGGGGATCTTCCCAACCCAGGGATCGAACCCGGGTTTCTCACGTTGGAGGCAGATTCTTTACTGCCTGAGGCACCAGAGAAGCCATGGGTCTCCATCAAAGACACAAGATGGAGCCACTATTTCAGGCATTCCACTCAGATTCAGAGGCATCCAGGGCTTCCCTGGTGGCTAAGATGGTAAAGAGTCCACCTGTAATACAGGAGACCCAGGTTCGATTGGTAGGTCGGGAAGATCCTCTGGAGAAGGAAATGACAACCCATTCCCATATTTTTGCCTGGAGAATTCTATGGACAGAGGAGCCTGGAAGGCTAGAATCCATGGGGTTACAAAGAGTCAGACACGACCGAGCCACTCACATTTTTGTTGTTCAGGGGCATCCAGATAAAAGAGAAATGGTACTTCCCGTGTCTTTCTATGAAAAATGTTTTCCCTGAAGTCCCCCAGCCAACATTCCCTCTTGTGTTATTGGCCAGAATTGTGTCCTGTGGCCCATGCTTCAGCCAATCAGCAGGCTGGAAGCAGCAGCTGTCCTAAAGCAGCAGAAAGCAATATAGAGAAAGGAAGTTCCCCCAGCCCGGTCTCGGTTCTGTGGGAAAGGAGGGTGTGGAAACCACTATTGCCTTGCAGCCAGATGCCCTCCCCGCCACCCCATGTTTCCACTGGAAGGCAGGCAACGTTGTCACAGAACATGACTGTGACTTATCCTGGGGCCATAAGGAGGTCATTTCTCTAGGAGTTTTGTGATGGGTTGGCCCACAAAATCAAAACACCCTCTTAACTCAAAAAGATTCCATAAATTACAGAGGTGAATGCAAAATGCATTCTTTTAAAATAATGAAATCATTGTAGGCTATGACTTTTCCTCTGGGAACATTTTTAGCTAAATAGATAGCAACTTTTTCAGTTGTGATTTTCTAAATAATTTGATGGTGTGGGTGTTGATTTTCTGAAAGGTTTTCAAAAGCTGTTTCAGGGGAATTTCAAATATTTTCCAGCTGTTGAGATTTTGTTTGTTCCTGTAAGATCCTAATGTTGACCTTTGTCAATGTCCTTCAAAGCAAAGGGCGTGAACTGGTGGTAGGTCAAAATATTTTCAGGGGACACATTGGCCATAGAATTGCTTAGAGGAAAACATCCCTCCTGATTATGATGTGGTCTCTGTTTGATGCTTCTGAGCTTTTAAGGCCTTCCTAACAGGACTTAAATCTCTTTTTATGGAGAAAAACCTGAGGCTCAGAATCTCTGAAAGGCAGAGCTAGAACCAGGGATGATGTAACTTCTCCAGGACCACAGGGACTGAGGTCGAGAGGAGAGAGATCCCGAGGAAAGTTGGAACGCTGACGCCTGTGCTAGACTGCAGCAATGGCCCTGACTCTCCCCCTTAGCCATTCCTGTCCAGTATCACTTTATCTTTCCACTGTGGGCAGAGCAGGACTTGTAACCAATGGGGTGCTAGCAGACCTGCCGAGGCCAGCACCCAGGAAGATGAGAGGTACGTGGAACAGGGCTGTGTCACCCCAGGCAAGCCTCAGAGGAATCAGAGGGCCCCCAACTGACGTGGGACCAAAAACTTTTTTTTTTGTAAGCCAGTGACTTTTCGTGATTTTGTTCAAGTACAAGGCATCAATTTTGTGGCAATGGCTAACGAATACAGACAATTAAAAAAAAAGAGTAACTGGAACTTGGTCAGGCTGCAAAAACCTGAATATCTGTTGCACCCCATGTTATAGATGGGGAAACAGAGGCTCAGAGAGGGGAAGACTTGTGCCCAGGGCACCTGGCTGGTAAGTGGTGGAGGTGGGATTTGAACCCAGGCATTCAATCCTAATGCCGAAGGAAACACTCTGACCCCTGGAGGGGTGAGAATTAGTGAGGTCAGATCACTTCTGCTGTGGGTGAAGACCCTGGCTGCCTCTTATTGCTAATGCTGAACCCTGGAGACTGTCAGTTTGAACATACCCCTAACTTTATTCCAACAAGGATTTCTTATTATGTGCATGTGTGTGTATTTAATAATGATAAAGCACTTGTATGTCATATTTGACAGCAGGGCTTTTTTCATCCCAAGTTTAAAGCACTACTGGGAAATAATTAGTGCTACCAGAGTCAAAAACAAAGGGACCCCATCAGAAAAGACAGTCTCAGAAACTCTCAGATCTTAATTGAACAATTACCTCTTATGCCTATGAATAGTTCATTATTACATGCCCTGTTATTATTAGCTGTTATTATTGTTTTAGATGAATGCTGGGAATTTTTTTTTAAGTCAAAAGCCATTTTCAACCACACTGTTCATCTCCCCCTGGCTTTCACATGCTCCTGACATTTCCGATGTAATAATGTCGTAGTCGGCAGTCAATTTTCTACACCTCGCCTGGATAACGGTGTATTCAGATCATTTTGGTTGTTTGGATGGAGTGGTTAAATACTCCAGGCCTCTGTTCATACTGTTATTAATTTTTGACTCCTTGGTGAAAGCATTTGCATGAGAATCAAGCACCTCCCGCTTTTTATTTTTTAGGAATCTGAAGTCCTGGGGAACAATGAGGAGATCCTTGTTCATCCCAAGCTTTTGGGACAGAAACAAAAGGAGGTGGTGGTGATGGAGCCAGAGGACAGAGTAGAAGCAGCCTTGGGCAGTAGAGACCCAGGCCCCAGGGAAGGCGGGCCGGAGGCTGGGTCAGGAGAGGCCAGGCTGGGAATCTTGTGACTTTGGAGGGAAACACAAAAAGGAGGGGACACATGAGCACACGTAAGGCATCTTCCGTGTGTTAGGTGCTGTGCTCCGTGTTTGGCATTCATTTTTCCTCATCTATACCAATGAGTCAGGGTTTCCTATTACTCTGCCAAAATCATGAAGACACAAGAACAAACTTTTCTGCCTATTTTACAGATGAAGAAAGTGAGGCTCAATGAAGTAAATGCATCTGCTTAAGTACACACAGCCTGGATGTGGTGGACTCAGCGTTTGAACCCTCTGTCTTAGAAGGAGACCCCTGCTGAGAGGTGGCAGGATTGTGTTCTTTTTTTTTTTCTTCAGTTTTAGCTATTTGGCCTTTCCA